CGCGAACTTTTCTTAGATGATTTGTTGGCTCACCGCTGTATGTCTCATGGTGGAAAGCAGACTCTGATGGTTATTTGGCCCCATGCCCGTGGCCAAATGATCAAATTTCCTTTGTCATCGGGTTTGTTTCTCAGATTTGGAAACAAGCCATTGCGTCAATGTATGGCGAAAAAACAGCAAAAGTGTTTCTCAAATTATATACTATTCGGAAAATAAGAGTTAAGCCATTCGGTTGACAAGCGAAACAATTTCTACTAGAATAGAAAAACTCAAACAGATCTATTTCTATATTTAGAAGGCATCTAGCATTAAATACATGGGACTTTTACAAAGAGAACGGTTTCAATTGTTCTCATGACTTTCCATTTATTGGATATTTTGGAATTTTGCGAGAAAGGCAATCTTTTTTCATATTACGCTTATATCCTTAACATGTTTCTGATTTACTTGTGAAGAAAGCTTGCTGAAGTCTGGGTTGCACATTGCATTATGCAAGGCTAAAGGTAATCGAGCTGCGCAGTGTAGATTCAAACATCACTGTAAACGTGAGCATGGAAAAACTAAATGCATGTGGTTTACGGTTGTCGTAGCTAGCTTCCAAACTGACGTTGGCTCAGTTCAGTTTGCTGTGATGGCGTACATTCGGCAATTCTACCAATGTTAGTAAGGCTTGCTGTAGTTTGTTTTTGTTGTGTTGTTTTTTATTTATATTTTTGTTTTCTATAATTATTCTGTTTGATAAAACATAACTTTTTTCTACCCGCACGCTAAAACTATAGTCGGACTAGTTTGGCCTGTAGGTGTATCATACAGCTCTGTTCAGGATGATTATATAGCGCCCTCGCTAGGTTTATCTGCGCATGAGTAAAAAGGTACGTACCTTAATCACGGATGTTCTAAAAGTATTTGGACTTACAATACGGGTGATTCACGGTAGTGGGCCTCCAAGAGTTCGCAACGCTTTGATCAGTCACAATGCGCGAAATCTGTCGACCCAGTGCGCGTTTGGAGAAGGTCGACAGATTTCGCGCGTTGTGATTGGCCAACGGGTTGCAAACTCTTGGAGGCACACGTGAAACGCCCGTATTACTCACGACACCGAGAGCCATCTTACCGCACGGAATACGAAGGTGATAGGTGGCTTGCGTGCCAATGTAATTATTGTTACCACGAAAATTTGGTTTTGACAATGGAGAGCAAAAATACTTTCACATTCGGCACTGTAAGATGGCTGCCGATGGCTTCAATGACTAATGTGGGCTAATTAAGGGCACTGTGAATCCATTTTTTTGTTTAGATATTATATCCATGGTTTGAAAGTCAAGCGTTGACATGTAGATTATTAACGTCCATCACTGGGGATGGGATATCATATCGTTTGACCGTCTCCCCTAAAAATTGCTACAAAATTTGTAGACTTACTCTATTAAATGCCTTCGAACTTGAAAACAATGCCCAACCCCCCCTCCCCCAAAAAAATCATTAAAGGGGTCAGAAATTCCCTCAAATCGCACCAGAGAGCATCGAGAATTGAACATTATCTGGCGCCCTTGAGTGGGTCCCGGACCCCACGTCGTTAAGGGCTTCATGCTTCGCGTTCCCATTGGTTTTGCTACGCCCCCTCAGAAGTGACTGGCGCTCTTGATGCAGAATAACAAAGCTGGTTGTGTGCTCAGGTAAGTCCAGCTTCTTCCGCACGAGGTACCACAACCTACAAAGGCCAAGTTCGATCAGCGATTAGGTCCTATAATTATGTATAAGCCATATACAGGTGTTTTTACCCGGTTCTATACCCATAGCGCATGAGGAAGTGAGCTTTAATTTGATATGTGTTTTTTTGAACACCTGTGAAACTTATGAGTATTTTTCCTGATTTTTCGAAGTGGGGATATTATCACTGTTGTCTATGGCAACTGATTTACTGGTCTACACAGAGCGCGCCATCAACGTCTACTTCGTGCAGCTGCAAAATGATATTTGCAAGGGGGCGCTCTCTGTCCGAGAGCCATTGTTTAAATTATGCAGTACTGGGTACAGTCCACTAATTCAAGCCCCCTTGAAAACAGTGTAAAATCAGCACTGGGCCCAATAACATGCATACCAACATCCCTGAGATTTCAGAAACACAAATGAAATTATTGTCTAGTCCCTAATCTTTCAATTTCTTTTGAATTTTTGTGGGGTTAACCAATTACATTTTTAATTATTCCCACAAAACAAAATCCGCAAAGTGATTTTTCCGAAGTCCGATTGCAGCCATTTTTTCAAGTGGCAATCCTCAACTTTCTCGGGCACTTACGACCATTTTTCAACCGTAGTTTTTAGCCATTCTGCTCTCATATGAAAGCTCAAAGACCCAAGGAGTTCATCCCGGCAGCGATTTACACAATCTCAGCATTTTTGGAGCCAAACAATCTCCTTTTTCAAAAGATACTGTGGGGGGCACTTTTAATGCTAATGAGCTGGCCAGAAATTCTCACTTGAATTAGTGGTCTGCACCCTACTGTACTGTACTCTCTGACTTGTTTCTGCCAACTTAAATTGACTTCACATGCGTTTAAAATCGCTTTAACTTGGGGGAGCCAGGCTATCAAGCGTGTTGTTGGCCTGGAGACGGGCTTCTTATCGCCAGCATTTCCTATGCATTGAAAGCTCCCGTCTCGGCACAACTTTATTGCCCGGCATCGCGTGCCACAAAAATACTCAATATTTTGAGAAACATTTCCACGTCAACATTAATTATGGGAGCATGGGAAGCTACACTTCATTAACCCGAGGGCACAATAGCGAGATTTATTAATGCAAGTCATTTTCCTGAGCAAAGTTCACTCTTGTGCGATGCATGGGAGGTCGCAACGGCTTCGCCCCCAGTTGAACGATGACCTCTGCGTGGCATCAACCATTCAGTGACAATAAATATATACGCTTCAGAAATTATCTTCAAAATTCATAGACTAGACCTTGGGGTTTATCATATACATTCGAAGATTTTGTCATATAGCAGAGTTCCACAACAACCCTCTGGCCCTCTCATAATAACTTACAACGGCAAATTCGGTGTGTATAGTCAAGTAGCTTAACATGTAGAAGCAGAATTGGGTGGGCATATTGATTATAAAATGTAAGATCAGAGCGGTGGAAATAGATTGCAAATACAAAACTGGGATGGTGTTAGCCTTGACCGAGGCGTTGTGGGCGAATCTGGGCTTCTGTTAATACATCGGTGCGTGACCCGTCCACGCACGACGATCCAGCCCGCGCGCTGGGTATGCGAGTTCTTACGATGTGCACGTTTTCTAAATGTGTTGCTTGCCCCTAAGGGTGCACTGAACCAATTCAAGCTCCATTGAAAATAGTGTAAAATCAACCAAGTTTGGAGCCCCATGGCAGGCACCTGAAGTCCCTGAGGCCTCTCAAACAAAAAACGATGTGTTGTTTGGTCCTTCAGGTTTCATTTGATTTTCAATTTTTAGTAGGTTAACCAATGAATTTTTTAATTATCGGCCCAGAACAAACCCACCCCCAAAAAGTGAATGATGCCAAGCCCTCCCAGCGGCCATTTTTCAAATAACATCCCTCACCTTCCTCGGGCTCTTCTGACTAATTTTCAATCCCATTTTTGTCTGCTTTGCCCCCAGATGGGTGCCCCTGAATCTACAGAGATGATCCTGGGCCATACTGACACAATCCTACCATTTCTTGGCCCAAACAGACCCCTCTTTTTGAAACAATCTCTGAGGGGTACCTTTTGTGCGCCTCGGCCTGGCGGAGAATTTTCCTTGAATTGGGACACTGCACCGTACCCTAAGCTCCGGCCGTTCTACTTGGCAATAACGCAAACGTACTTACTTGTACACGTAAATGTATTACGCTACGTGCGCGGTGGCTCGTTTGCTGTGGGTTCCATGCGTGAGGCCACGATGATCTCCCCTCGACGGACGAAAAAGGCTGAGACCGCCTGAGGCCAGTGCAAACAGACAATAAATACAGTTGCAAAAATACATCCCAAAATTCACTGTTAGTGTCTTGATTCATAGCCTTAGTTTGTGAATGGACAATTGCGGTTTGAAGTCATGCCACACATTCTCACCTGTCCATTCGGACCCACTGAGCTGTCTGTGGCCACACACACACACTCGCTCCCATTTGAACCAATATCACCTTTCCTGAGGTGAAATTTAGACCAAATGACCCAAATTTCGACTGAATGTCCCAAATTTAAAATACTGCAATTTGGCGACGTATAAATAAACCGAGGAAATTCTTCCTTTTGCGTTGATTCCAAATGTCAGTGTTTCCTTTTTAAAAAATGTGAGTTAAGGAAAATGTACCGGACACAAAACCACTGAGTGGCCTTTCAAGCTTGAGTAATATGTCCCATCGTCTCGATACCGACCTTCATCTGAACACCTGCACACCACTCACATGTGACGAATTTGGTTGCGTCATCCTACTGTTCTTTTTTTCCGTTTTAATCCGCACACAGCAGTTTGTCAAATGTCCGGGTATGCGGATTCCTCTTTCTTTCGACCAAGAGGCAACCACCGTTTTCATTAAAACTTGGCTTGAACCTCTACTCTGTCATGTTTTATGCATTTGCAAAGTATCAGCTCACTCAGAAGACGGCATTTTGTAATTTCTGGCATCTTATTTTTTACTTTCCCCGCCCGTGTATCTTGAACGCGGACAACAAAAACCTTTGTCGGAGACCGTGTGTCGAACACTTTGCAAAAATGGTATGCATCGAGATTTCAAGGCATGCACATTTACACTTTGGAATCCCACATTGCACAATGCAGGAAATCCCAGAATCTCTACAAATCCAGGAGTCTATTACGCCAAAAAGTTATTGGCCTTGAAGCTTCAGGATTGTTATTGTCACCGTGAACGCATTCCAATGACGTGAGGGGATTCCCCCCCGCCGCCCCGCACCGCTGAATCGTTCACTGTTATTGTTAACTTTTAACAACTCTCAAATACACACTGATGTCATTCGGTGACATATACGCAAGTTCACACTTCCTTGTCTGGAAGTGCCTAGATTTTTATAGCGAGAGATAGTTGAGAACAACAAAAACTAGTGTGCATGGACCACGTCAGATACCTATAACCGCGGCAAGATTGCAGGTAAGATCTGTGCAGTTTATAAACACTTCTTGTAAACGTATCTGGAAGTCTGCTGTGGAGGCTTGCTCGCTTCGATATCTAATCATGACCTTTTTTTGCATCTCTCTTGTAAGATGACGAGTGAATACAGCCTTCTAACACGCTATATGTTTATATATCCCATCGGTATGACAGGATTTTCCTTTGTTAAACAAGTTGAGCAATTTTGTGCCTGACAGGTGCTATTAAATTACGAATCAAGCTTGTCAAATGTGTGTAGTGTTGGCAGTTGACATGTTCCCTAGTTCCAAAGTTATTTTGAACCATTTCACAGCACGGAGAACTGTGCTGGAGCTGTATGTTTGATTTTCACAGAATATGTGTCAAAATGACCGTAAAGAGTTGTTAAACTATATCTTAAATGCACTGTGAGGTATGGGAAAAATGGGGGTTGAACCCTGGCTTCTTAAGTAGCCATAATCATTTGCCTCATAGGATTGTGATGGCGTTAGAGCTGAATTTCAAGATACTCTCATGACAGCCAGCAAAGGAATCACTAGTTTATTTCCAGAATCGATGTTTCTACCGTATCACGTATGCAACTACTGCAACTTGCACGAAATGTATTCAAATGCAGAATGTAAAAATAGACTTTGAAGATAAGGAGACATTCGAAATAGCACTTGTTCTTTTGTTTCAGAAATTTGTTTAACCGCACTGCGAGAATTCTTTAGTGATTTTCCTAACGATTGCATAAAGCCTTCAGTTACCGGAATGAACCAAATAATCGGTCACTGTGGTGAAAATAATGCTCATGGTTCGTTTACATCGTTTGGTGCCAAATTCCATGTGAAAGAGTGCGTCACTTTTGGTAAACAGAATAATTACCCAACCAGTAACAACTTGGAAGTGGCCCGGGAATTTCCAACCTTTTTGTTCCGCTTCAGAGATCAAAGTTCGAGAGTAGAGATCGCTGGTTGTCCAAAAAATACAGAATAAAGGCCTCACAAAGACAGCACAGGGATTATTACTTTCCGATTGGGTAATATATCCTTACTTATTTCCTGGTGCAAAACCAGTGCATTCTAGGTGGCAGATACGGCTGTGTCTCTGTGAGCGCTTATCATTTGTCCAATTCGACTTCAAAAGTGGGAGTACACATTTTCGACCAGGAGCTTTGGATTTCGTCTCGTCAACACCGAACTGTGTGAGTAAGTTTAAATGAAAAGTTTATTAGAATACATGTAATCTCGTCAAACTTCATTGTAACATGTGTAGAAGGCATAATGGTGGCGTATAACGTTGCACTCTATCTATATTCTTTCTATATTCATGGATGTCTTGTTTGTTTCTTTCGAATTGATTATCTCGAAAATAGGCTAGACTCATGAAAGGGGCACCCAAATGTAATAGGAGGTAAATGAGGGTCAACGAAGATTCTGGATACATTGTTATCTTTATATTTGACTCTTTCACTTGTTTTCTACCCTTAATAGAGCCGGGTTATTTTGGCCCATCTCACAGCTGGGGGCAGATCCCCTCTCCCCCCCCCCAAAAAAATTGGCTATGCCACCCTTGATTTTTTTCTGAAACTTTGCATACATAAAGACACTCCTTATTATTACAAGGGCGAAGTTTGAATTCAGTCAGATATATTGTGCTGCTGTACTGTCATTTGAAGTGCGATGCTGCAAGTGTGCCTGCCCGCGTGCACTGAGCACCGTAGTGGATAAATATACGTATCTTGGCTTATACCCGTCTCGGAAAAATGGGCGCTGTGCGAGAGCCTCATCTTTGGTTTTTACAAAAGTTGTTTAAAAACAAGCAAACAGAGTTACTCTAAAACCTCCCACAGGCTCAGCTCTTGAAAAAAATACACTTCGGCGATATCGGAAAAACGTCGAAGGGTACGTATTCCGCCCTTGCTCTCTGAAGCACACACCGTGAAGACTAATATGACTGACAAAATTTTTTTATTGTGATTGGTAGAAGAAATCAGTCTTTTAGCACTGCCATCGAGCAACGACTTAGACGAATTTAATCTGTAAAGACGAATTTTCTAGACAGAGTGTGCGCTTGCGATGAATGATCCTTAAACGGTTCATTATTTCATCGTTTTTTTTCCAATAGCACCTAGACTTTGCCTTAATCGAATCTGAATACTAGAATCCGTTAATTGGAAAAGAGGTTTAAATGGCCCATGTTTACTAGTTGCATTTCGTATGCAGTTTAAACTCTACAGGCAAAGTGTTTCCCGAGTCAATCGAAGGACGAAGAATTTTGATCCTTTACTTCTGAAAACGGTTTTCCAGTGACTTTTTATGCATGCCTTTCCATGCACAGTATCGCATTTTTCTGCTGAGGGGAACAGTTTTTTCTCGAAATGTTAATAGCACAATTGATTCCGAATAACATTTGCGATGACAAAGAATGAACAAACATTGTAACGCATGAAGTAAAGTGTTTTCTTGGAAAATGGCTGGAAGTTGAAGGTGTAAATTTTACATGCGAACTTCCGAAGGAGCTCAGTGCAAAGCCTGAAAGAGAAAGTGATTCAGCCTTTGTTGATGCAAGTTTAGCCCATGCACTTCTAACACAAATACATTTTGGTTTTGCCTGGTTGAAATATGTTTTCGTTTTTTACATGCTTTCAGTAGTATTTGGAACAACAAGAGAAAGAACAGGATTAAAGCTGCGCAAAAAATAAAAGAATTAAACAAATACTGTAAAAAAAGAATGAAACAGAAGACGTGTGCACGTATATCAGGAAATAGGAAGAAAACAGGACTAAATCAAGTTCTAACATAGGCCTACTTAATTCTGAACAAGGATGAGGAGTTGATCGTCCTATTTTCAAGTCAGTTCATGACTTGTTTTTGTTGTGATCTTCCTTTATCACCCTCTCGGTGAAAGTTATTTAGGTGCATTACACTTTCCATGGTTGTGAAAGGTGTCACCCAAATGAAACAATGACTAAAATACAAAGAAATGAAAATGAAATATGCAGGCTCAATGAATATCAGAACCGTGAGAATGTTTGTTAAAATCTGCCCGCCGTAAGTGAAAGTAATTGACTCTGCAAACTAGTGACAAACTTCCTCGAGAGTTGCTTTCCGTAACAATCCTCATCAATGGTACAAACGTTATCAAATATTACAATACAGTCATTTTTGTGAGAGAAAACAAGACTCACGTCGAATGGAGGGTATCTCATAGAAGCAAGATCTCCTTGTAAATAGCGATGATTATAGACTTTTATGATGTTGCCATGTTTATCTTGTTCACCGTTAACACAGTAATGCAACTTCACAGTTTTATGAAAGGGAACAGACTATTTTTATTTTTCCGTCCAGCCGCAGTTTGATGCATTGGTTTGAACGGTAGAAAAACAAGATGGCTGCCCCGTCTATAATTGGGAGGGGGAGATGTGCACTCCGAAGGCGGAAATAGTTACAAAACCCTAAACCCACCCCACCCGCTTTTCACTACAGATTTAACATTTATAAGTGGGCCCCTAGACCTAGAGTGGCGCCTTTTCTTGATAAATACTGACATTTTTGGCTTTTTTGTGTACTTAGGCCTATATACATAAAAGAGACAACAATAGATCCACTATAAGTTTATATTATTAGTGTGTAACTTTGGTGTCTGGTGGTTATCTGACAGGCTGTGACAGGGAATAACGCAACATGGCTTTTTCGGTGGGTAATCGTCAGTCAAGCGAGGTCATAAAGGAAGGATACCTCACCAAGGAAAAGGAGCACGCCCGAGGCTCATTTGTAAGTCTTTCGTTCTGCGTTTGGTTGTGTGTGGCTGTACGTGCATTTGCAGTGAACAGGAGACACATAATTATAGTCTTTAAAAACCTAGGACAAGGAGCAAATCGAGAACATCCTCGATTGGATAAAGTACGTGCAAAACCAATGGTACCCTTGCAAGGAGAAACAAAAGAACAATGAAAGGAAGACTTTGATTTACCCCATCTACTTGAGCATCTGCGTTTCCTGTTTTATTTTTGTTTTGCTTTTGTTTGATTCTGTTTGGTTCAGTTTGCGTGGTTCTTTTTTCTTCTTATTCTGTACTGTGCTTTCCACTGTCTTTTAATTTGTCCTCGGAGATTTTTTTTCATTTTGTATTAAACCAATTTCATAAATGGAGCATCTCAAAGGCAATGGATTTCCACCTTCTCAACGAAAACACATCTTTCTTTAAATTTCAATTAGCATTTCTCAAGAAAAAGGAAGAATCCATCTTGAGTTCAATTTTTTGTGGTACTAGTACTAATTGATCGTGTTGTGTAATACTGCTTTCAGTGGCAGAAATCTGAGCTCAAAAAATGGTGGGTGTTGAAACAAGATCAGCAAGGTGGAGCGGTGATGTCCCATTACAAGGATCAGACGAAGAAAACGTCTGAGAAAAAGATCCCGTACCCGGATTTCGAGAAGATGGACGTTTCCAAACACAACCACGACGATTACTTCAGCATCAAATACGGAAACAAGATCACCCACTTCCGGGCTGAGAGTAGACAACAACGTGACGAGTGGTACCAGGCCATGCTGAGGGCCCTGGGGCGTTTGGCACCCGCTGGCCCGGACGACGATGTCGTCAGCGTCAGACCGAGGTGCGACACAGAGAATTTGCACAACAAACCACCGGTCTCCCGTCGCCCAAGAAAGCCGATGGACATTCAGTCTTCCCCGAGTCTGAGCTCCACTTTCCAAGCAGAGCTTAAAAATGCAGTCATTAAAAGCCCTATGTCACAAATCCCAGAAGGCGAGGACTTGGACGGTGACACAGCTAAGATCAGGCAGGAATTCCTGTGTTGTCAACGACATCATATCACTGGCCACAGTGATAAAGGTATGGAATTGGAAAATCAAGCTTGAAGATGCTCTACAGAACTGGATACAGAACCAAATTGGGGTGGAATCAAAAATTGTTTGGGGGATCCAGAAACTTGTGAATTTTCTATGTAACCTTTTATGGGCTGTAGTGAGGCGAGGCTACATTTAAAGGGCTTTTTAAACAAGCTTGTGGATGGAATGGAGATGACATAGACGAAAAAAGAATGTCTTTTTGGTCTCGTGGTTTTTCAGGAAAAAAAACAGTTTTGAAACGTTTCAGGGCCGTGCCCCTCTCCCCACCCCCGTTCCTCCAGTGCGACTCTGTCCAGTTTGGTCAGTTTTGTGTAAGAAGTCCAATCGAACTTGATCTTTATTCCGCGGTCTTTTCTGTCACTGTATGATACCGTTTTAATCATCAATTGTTAGATTCGACAACAGAGTGTGTTTATATGAAGGAACAAAGAAATACCAAGCAAATAAATGATATTATTTGAAATATACCACTATGTATACCAGTAGTTTGTTTTTGACTTGCTGAATCTTTCTGGCAGGGGTCAATATGGTAGACTTGAACATCGTCTACGAAAATGTGCATTTTGTACGCTCCGAGGAGGAATATCATAGAGCTGTTGCACACAGAAAAATCAGTCTTGCTCGTGGCGAAGAGGTGTACACTGCACTGCACGACGTCGCAAGACTCCAGGCTCAGCCTGAGAACATCTATGAAAGCACGATCCCAACTTGCCGACCGGACAGCTGCAAGGGACTGGAGCCGGGTAGTTCCGCTGCAAACAACAACCTGGACCAGTCGTCCGACAACCGAGCGCTCCCAGCGAGCGAGTGTGACTTAAACATCGTCTATGGGGAAGATGATTTGTCATCGAAGCGAAGCAGCCTGTCCAGCAACGAAGACAACACGAAGGTGCAGCCTGTGCCTGTACCACCGGTACCCCTCCACACGGGCGAGTTACTCCGGACAAAAACACAGTGAGTTTCTGTAATATCTGTCCTTTGCTTGGCATTGTTTCGCACAGCCAAATGCAAATTTTCGCAGATGGAAAACCCCGTAGAAAATTACAATTTCCACTTCAAGTAGACAACAGTTTTTCTTTCCCAGTCGGTCAAACGTCACTTTTGAATTGTTTTGGGTATGGCATCGTATTTGCTAGTTTTGGACGGTTTCGAGCATCTATCTTTCTGTATTCTGTTCTAGAATTACATGTGTTATTGGTTCTTTTTGTCTTCTTCTTTCAGAAAACTGAATGAGGAAATGAGACAGCCCAATGGGATCGAGAAGACCCTCTGTAAGACCGCTCTAGTTGGAGAGCGGGTCAAGATTAAGCTTATGGAGAAGAAAGATAGTATCTGGTAAGCGAAGAGGATTCTTCTTCTTTTCATGGTAATTGGTAAAAAATAAATCTCTCCTTGTCGGCGTAAATTTTAACCACTCATCTGACCAGAAAGAATGTTACACTTTCACATTTGTTGCATTGTGTTTTTCAAATCAGTCATCACCCGCGTCTCAAACCGTATAGGACCAAAGCAAGACCAAGAGAGGGCGCAATTTTCCGAGCAATGGCGGCTCTTTTCAACCGATAAGGGGTGCGTCTGCTCAGATACCGTGCACGATATGGGGCCGATGGGTACCCCCCACACATGTCCAATCCCTATACACACTCTAGACTATTGTTACCTAGCACATCCCCCCTGAAGTCTGTAAAGAATTCCTGAGATTCCGATTAAACAATGACCAACACAAAGGTGGGGGGTTCTCTCCGCCCCATATCTTGCATCATATGGAGGCTCTAGGCAGCAGAGCTGTATATAGAGAGACTTGCCACACAGGTGTCAACATTGATAGAAACAAACTGACAGGTGTACGCACCAGTGCACATGGACAGTTGGTCTACAATAGCTGCAAGCTCTATTCTGCACAAAATGAACAACCTGGCGCTACTCTGTGTATATACAGCTCCTCAATGTCCACAGCTGCTCTTGTGCTACGGAAGTAACTCCTATCATATGATGCAAGACATGGGGCGGAGAGAACCCCCCCCCCCCGCCTTTGTGTTGGTCATTGTTTGATTGGAATCTCAGGAATTCTTTACAGACTTTGGGGGATGTGTTAGGTAATAATAGTCTAGATTGTGTACGGTGTATAGGGATTGGACATGGGGGGGGTACCCATCGGCCCCATGTCGTGCACGGTATCACTCCTATACTTGATAAAGGCAGATCATTCAACGAAATATATTTGAGTCCTGAAGGCGACCTGTTTAGCTGTTATCCCGCGCCAATAGGATTTAAGACTAACTGAGACGTGTCTCAGTCATGATTGTGGCACATTTGCGTTGTCAGGGTGATTGGCTGGAATGAATGCAAGACCCAGCTGAGAGGAGCTCTGAAAGTCGGTGACCAGCTCATCAAAGTCAACAAGCAGATTCTCAGTTCGGCCATGTTCGCCAGACAAACCATCCAGAGCACTGACGAAGACAAGGTACCAAAGATACAGCCAGTATCTAAGATTTTAATTTGTCATTCTTTAGGTATTCATGATGTCGGAAGGGCTTGTTAGGTTTTACACAACGATCCCAAATTATTCACTTGTTGAAAATTGACAGACTTTGACAGCTGGAAATACTGTTGTCAAATCTTCTTGTTTGTAGTCAACAAAGCAGCATGTGCTTAACCCTTTAATTTTGTTTGCACTTTTGCACGTGCAGGCTCAAACTTCCTAACTGCCACTTTGAATTCAATGTAGTCCACAACAAAAGACTGAGGTTTAAAAAAAAAATTCTGAAGTCTCGCAGCAATTTTTTATTGTCGAAAATAATTGTTCCAAAGCCTGTTTCTGTACATCTGACAAAACTCTCAGCTCCAGGCCTTTTTCTGGCGAAATATACTGACTAGGTCGCCTATGATTCCCCCGACTGGCTTTTGATCTCTAAGGCGTTGGTTATCGGTACATATCACAAAAATATCGTCTCATCCTGTTATTTTCATGACCGTCACTTTTTGGTATTTGTGACCTCTTGAATCATCCTTCTCCATATTTCCCCGCTTATCTGTAACGACCACAGTGGTGGTTCCAGAGGACCATCATCAACCCCCAATCCCTCCCTCCAATAAAGGAGACAGGTTAGGGTTTGGGATTTCAGTTGGGTTGGGTTGTGCGAGTTGGGTTGGGGTGAATATAATTAGCAAGAACGATATTTGGACGATTTCATTTCCTTACCAAAGCGTGTAAAAACTGCCTAATTTAGCTTCGTCTCTCAGAAAGGCCCTGAAAGTTGCTTTAGAAATTCCCTTGAATTATCATTGGATTCATGTTATGTATTCGCTTCTGGCAGGTCAGCCTAGTTCTGAAGCGAATTCCCCATGGCTGTGTGTGTATCATTGCGCGATTGTCCCCATCCGATGATCTCGGGATCACAGTGGAGGGAAATGAGGTAAGCAACAACCCAGGAAGTGCTTGGTTTTCTTTTTATTAAGGCGGGAGAGTAGGTTGTCTTGGAAACGCAGTGCTCGACAGCCAGGGAACGATGTTGGCTCTGTACAGAATTCTTACGAAGGAAGTACATCAGAGCTATCTGCTCCGAGTTCCGAACAAAAGAGGGCGTGTTTTGGGGGGGGTTTGTGGTTTTTTTTGTGTGTGTTTTTTTTTAATCACAATATGCACGCGTTTATAAGGGGGCATACCACCAAATCGTTGTTTTTCTGAGCGCAAGCTCATTAATGTTTTGTGATCCCATGGGTTTTTTATAATAAGACATGCCACAATCAGGAGAGGTCATAGAAATATTTCTATAAATCCCGAATTGGGACTAGTAGTTTCCAGTTCGAGGTATTTCTTTCACAAAAAGCCCCAAATTATTGGCCTATTTTGGATAGAGACGGGCGGCTACATTCAGATTTTAGGGCATAGTTTTACTGCTATTTTGGGGGTATCTTCGGGGAAAGGCGAATACTGACCCCCATAAAATTGAAAGGAATAGTGATCTCCTGGCCATCGTCTTGAATTTCCAGTGACAAAACGGAAACCTCTTCCCGAGAGTCAACAGGCGGCGCTATTTTGGTCTGATTTTTGGCCAGAACGCATAGATCACCAGTCTTGCGCGTATAACCGTGATTTTAAAAAGCGTGGGCAAACAGTGGGCGAAACGGTGAATGGCAGCGCGTTCAGAGCCAATTGCGCGTGACGCACTTAGATTGCATGTATTTGTTTACGTGTGCTCTGAAAAGACGCTCCTTTTTTACTCCACTCTTTTGTACTGTTATCTCTTCTTCTTTTCAAATGTTGCAACCGCACTGTTTCGAATCTTCATGGGCCAGATTAAGTAAGCAGAGGATTTTTTCACAATCAGAAAATGGCTTAATAGCATTTTATGGCTGGAATTCTTCAACTGTGTGTTAATTCCCGTACATATTTGGAAGCACGTGCAAACAAATACAGGCAATGTGAGTGCGTCGCGCGTAATGCACACTGAACGCGCTGTCATCCACTGTTCCGCCCATTGATCTCCAGTCTATATAATGGAGATCAATGGTTCCGCCCATTGTTTGCCCATACTTTCAACACCACGGTTATACGCGCAAGACTGGCGGTGTATGCGTTTATATATTCTGCGGCAGATACTGATACGCAAAGCATTATGGGGTACCGGTACATGCTGGTCAATAGGTCAATATGTTTAGCTCGCACGTGTCATGCGCACGCGGGAGTGTTGGTCGATGTCATCGTTCGAAGGAGCTTTATCCAATGGGAGCAGAAAGAATTACGTCATGCAGCCTAAAAGCATAGGCCCCTTCAGCTGGCTTGTCAGGGTGATGGGACAAGCGAACCACACCTCAGGCTCAAGGGAAATAGTCACCCAGCTTTAAAGTATGGGGCTTCGTATACTAACAAGACCTAGCATATTTTCGCAGATCACCTGCGTAGATCCCTGCGGCCTGGCGTCCTGCAAAGGTAACCTGAGGCCTCAGGCCACGGGAGTGTCCGGCCGCCTGTGCAACTGGGCCATCACGGAGATCAACGCACAGCCCGTAGATCTCTTTGCTTCCACTGAATACATCAGAGCGCAGCTCAGCCGCGCCGGAACCGACGTCGTACTGATCGTCCAACCAGTAGACTTCGTGCAGGCGATGAGAGACAGCTTAAACTCAGAGGTAGCTTAGACTTTGAGGATTCTATAATTTATCAATGTTGAACACCCATCCGTCGGTTATTCGGGATTTTTCCTCTTTCTTTCTGCACTTAGCCTGCTCCTTTATTTCTCGGTAAAAAAGTACTTAACCTGACAAAAAATTAGTAGACAACAAAACACGTGAAGACCATGCAGCTCCCGAAAGGTCGTCCCAAGAGACAAAGTCTCTTTCGAGGGGCTGTCCTAACTGAAAGATTAACATCAAATCAAATCGATTATCTCTGAATCAATCTCTAATAAACAGTAACCAATTAAGATGAACTTTAACCTGCCTACAATGAAAGCCAGACTACCCAAGTATACTTGACTATATAAAACAAAGTGCACAGTCTGATAAAATTGGACCAAATTCAAAGCAAATTCAAAGATAAACGAAATACCACGAGTGAACAAAATTACATCACTACGAACGTGTCGTAGTACGCACTCGCGTCGCATTCCCCGGTCAGTTTCAGAGAGGCTCCGCCGACACACGGTCGACATCGCCCTCGCGGTGTCCTGACGAGGAAAACTGTGCCCACCATTGGTCTGCATCAGACATTGTGGGTGCCACGCGTTTTAGGCGCAGTAAGGTGTTGGGAAACGGTGAGCGCTTGGTTGGGTGCACACGCAATTGTGCATGCCGTATAACATCTCATGAATTATTCTAGGTCCTCGGGCATTTTACATAATTTTACATATTTGCTGTTATATCTCTTGAGGCATTTGTGTTCATATCAGACTTTTTATGATTATACAAACATGAAGATGTTGTACATACATGTATTTATTTTCCTACAAAAGCCCGTTAGTGTCATAAAAGTGTACACTTCAAAAAGTGAAGTTTGTTTTCCAAAGTTCGTTTTTATGATATAAACTTTCTTCCAATCTCATTTCTACAAGATTTGGTTCAGAAACATTGTTTCAATTTTTTTGGAAAAAAAACAATATTATTGTTTTCGAAGTTGATTTGTATGAGATACATTTTCGATTCTGTTTTACAGAGATACGTAGTTTAAATTTTTTTTTTCTCATGAAAACTAACTCGAAAGAATATAACTCGTATAACGAAATTTGAGAAATATATTTCATGAAACGAATTCTCCCAATATAGAAAGAATGTTTCTAAAAACTGAGCTTGAAAAAATAAACCTTATAAAAGCGAACTTGTTTTGGTCATGTCCGCCTGTTGTGTGACTTGTAATATGTACTTATGTGAGATTTGGATGGTTTGTGTCTTTTGTTGTGTGTGTCAATTTCTGTTTGTTCGTCAGCGTCTTGTATGTGTATATGTGTGTTCGGTTTAAGATTCATGTCCATTTTGATGTGAAATATATTTTATAGTTTTTATTGATCTTTAAATGTAAAGTTGTTTATTTTCCGAATTAGAAAATATACCTTTTTATATTTCTTTGCCAACGTTGAGGGAGGCAAGTTTAAGGGCCCCTGTAAAGTTTTTTTCTTTTGTCATTCCTTACCCATGAAAGAGGAGGTTTATCCTTTGTTCTCCTTTTTTAGCTATTTAAATTGTACTGTCTTTGTATGTATTTTGTATTGTGGTAGTGAAATCTACCTACTGAAAGTATCGAATACGTCCACCGATGAGTTTCGACAAACACAGTAGAACAGAACTTTATGTTGAAGCTGTATGGTATTATTTCCTTCTGAAACTTTTTCAACATGCTATTGGCATAACTTCACACATAATACACGGAGAAATAGTCGAAGATAATGCTTCGCAACTGGTTTTTATTTTGAACAGACGACAGAGGGTAGCAACATCTTTAGCCATTCCCCGACGATGGTTTGGTCAGATGTTATGATAATGACCGACCTGATTGCGCAAAAGAACATCCCCCCCCCGGGCGTCGCCGTTTAGGTGAAAAGCGCCCTCTATGATTTAGGGGTGGTCATAAGTGAACTGAAAAAGGATAGTAATCCTTGGTACCAGTACTAGCAAATGACAACAAAGTGAGCTATAAATCTTTGAAAGCTGTCATAGGTACTCAGGTCTTCTAAACTCTTTTGTATAACGGTAATTATGTTTCAAGTTCATTTAGTTTCTTGAAAAGAGATATGAGACTTTCTGGTCGAAATCGTACCATTTAATACGTATTAAATATAAAATAGGTTGTCTTTATGCTTTCATTTGCTAAATGTTTTTGTACATAGCTGTAATTGTGATCATTATGGAAAACTATGGTTACTTCGCGATTCTCACACTACACGGATTGGCTGGACACGCCGTGCATGTATAATACACAGGGCGCAAGGAAATGGGCCAGCATTACACAGTTTGTGCGTGCCCGCCGGCGTTGTGTACGTATTCGGAGATTTGAGTGGTATTTGCCGATGTCGGCACTTCTCACACATATCTGACAAAGCTAAGGGAGCGTTATTGCGTTATACATCAACACCGGATGAAAAATTCCAATGTCTATAGAATGAGGCTGGTGGGTTGATTTCCCAACGGAGTCCCAGTGGTGTCATGGTTTGGAATGTCCGTCTTCACAAAACATCATGTAACCCTGAGGGCACTTTCTGTTTGTTTTCGTGTTTTATATGTTATCAATAAATAGGATGCCTGTATAGATTTTACATTTATATACATGTGTATATACAGAGTAGAAAGGACGAATCCGCGTTTCCACGATTAGCGTGCGATCTATCGGACTTTTTGTTTAAATTGTTTTTTACGGTCGCCTAAATAATGGACTAAGTCTTCCACGGCAATCCATCCCTCCGTTGATTTCAGCATTTTCATGTAATGCACTATCATAAATAAGATTATATACCTTTTGTTCCTGTCTGCATGTAAACAGTTTAAATTTCTGAACACTTTGCCTCAGTTTTAATCTTATGTCTGTCGTAATGAAGAGTCTATGGCAGTCTGACTGCTTCCTAAAATGAAGTTTCCCTCCGTTTTCTAATTTCAGAACTGTTTTAAACAAAAATGCAGTTTTATAATTTGTATATTTGGTAATAAATTTAAAATACTGTAAAGCAAATGCTGCGATGCAGAGGTGAACTTTGACGGTGGTCAAAGAAACATTGCGTTCAGTTCATTTTGGCTTAATGTTCCCCTAAAGAGGGTCCCAATCGCATCTACCTGGGAGCTTGGTGTTACTGGCATTTATAGTCATTAGGGTATATGTCACAAGGTGAAGGGGTGCATGCAAATCCTGATGTCATGATCGAAACGTGGCCTTATTCTTTCGGTTCGTTTGCCAAGCTAGCATGATTGAAAACAAGACGAGCTCATCGACAAAACGTGATGTTCTCGCTCAGTTTGCTAATCGTAGGCAAGGGAAAATGATGAACGAGAACAGAACCATGAAGGCCGTTTTCATGGTCCCCGATATACATCCCGAGTGTTATTATGAATACTTATAATTAACCCACGAACATGTATTGTGACTAATGGGCCTGTAGCGGCCTATATAATCTGTGTTTCACTGTAATACCGATTGGACTGTTTTTTGGGGGTTTTTTATGACGAATCTGCAACCCAGGCGTTCTGTTCAGGTTTCGTTTAAGACATTTACGCATCTAATGCATTGCCATAGGAAAAACACTTGACAAAAATCAAGAGAAACTGGCCTATATGGAAAAGATTAACATTGACAGACTGCATTTTCCGCGCTGCGTCATGCTATATTCGTGAATTTAGCCATAGAGGAACGAAGTGTGACGTCACTGTGAACCAGAAAGTGGGTGCGTTCGATTAGCTTACACGTGTAAGTCAAACTTACACGAGAGCGTTCGTTTAGCCATCATGTGATCTTTGTGCCTGCCCTGGTGTCAGCCACCACTACCCCAGCTGGCGAGCGGGTCTCTGGAGGCTGCCCGAGTGTAATGACGTCACGGATGGACTGTTCGAGCATGGACATGATGGAACGTGGCGGGGACTTGACCTTTTTCCAAGAATGCCTTGGCGAATACGCTGCAGCGTTCGAGTAGCCTTATTTCGAGGCTTCCCTTGCATGTAACACTGGTGTATTAAGGGAAGCTAGTCGAATGCACCCAGTGCAGTGCAAACGAATGGAGTACGCGCGCGTGTTGGTTCACGCGCTGCTTCTCGCGCTAATGCCTTTTACACACTAATTGTGCACGTGACGTATTCACTTCGGTACTCTATTGATCGAGGGCCGGTCGTCAAGTGGCTGGTCTAAAATGCTTGATAAAGCATACAGAATGTTAAGCGCGTTTCCGGTGACACAGAATTAGATTCCAATGAAATCAGTCCCAGGGCGCGTTTAAAAACGCAATACGCTCTTTATTAATAGCCCGCGTACGTAGGCCTACTGGTATACCGCGAAGGCAGTCCATTTTCCCTTGTTTGTATTCGCTCCGAGCGGGAACAAGGAAGGGTGCGTCTTCAGAGTTAACGTGAAAACGACCAAAGACATATAAAACCATACACAAACAGCTCCTATTCAAAACAAACGGCGGGCCGGGTACCGTAGCCGCTCTGAGCAGAACAAAAGAGGGCGTGGGTTTTGTTTGTTTGGTTGGGTTTTTTTGGTACTCACCATATAGGCGCGTCACGAGGCGCGCAAGTATATGCAAGTTTGACGTCGAACAAGCTGAGTTCGCACAATTAATTTATTGCGCGTGACACACACTAACGCAGCCTTTATTTGTACATTATGTGCTTTTGTACAGTACCTGCTTACATTCATGTCGTGTGGGTCGTGTATCGTTGATCATAATCATCCAATTATTCGTTCTATTTCACGGTACCCGTTGAATAGAACTTCATTTCACTTGACTGGATCCCGCATGATATATTTATATTCATTCCTAGTAAGAGAGGAACATAGGGCCTAATGTTGGGATGGGAGCCAGTCTAACATTGCAAGGTATAAGCACTGTTTCGTAAAATTGCGGACGTGTTTTTTGCTCAGGCTGCTCCGACATTGTGTGTTATTTGGTTTCTCCATAATGCATGTGAAGTTGAAATTGATTAACACACAAATCTTCGAGTATCCTCAAGCTTCCTAAAACACCTGATATCCATGCATATCTGTTCATGAGAAGACACTCCTGTATCCATTGAAATTTGTTCTCATTTTCTTAACAGATTAATGTTCGTTCGGCAGTAAGCTGAAGGCTTGTTCTTAAGTCTACTTCAGCCCTCTGTATTAATTGTGGCTTTGTTCAATTAATTTGTAACATTTTGTATTTGCTTCAAAATGAAATTCCTTAAAATCATACATGTACTTTGTGACCTTTAGGGCCCATGACATGAATTTTAATCGGGAATACTTGTATATTTCACACAACTGTTGGAATACTGTTTGCCAGCGTTTTTAAAAGCATTCTCAAACGTTGCGACATTTCCGGTTTTGGACAATGAGGGTTTAAAAGAAAACCCCAAATTTTGTCATTCAAAATATTGGTTTCTCTCCTGTATCGAATCGTGTATTGTGTAAAAATCCAACATCTACACATACGACGATTGCACCCTTGTATATTGAAGTAACAATAACCATCAAATACAAGACATTCATACGGTCATTTGCAAAACTTTAAGATCACCTGGAATTTCGTTAATATTTCTTTGACTGGGCCTGCATTACATTGTCTCGTTGACATACGTTAACATGTATTTAGAGTGGCGCATAACATCAGTGTAGTGCTAAATACCATTTTAATGAATCTTTTTGCAAAGGCAGGTCTTGTGTGACATTGTTGTCTGTACGGCAGCATGGGTTAAAAAAAGCCAGTCTAAGTAATCAGAAATAAAGGAGGGCAGTACTAAATATTAGACTGTTAACATTTCCAATCATGGAAATGCAGTCAAATAGCTGTTTAACCAAGATACTATGGTTACATATTGAAAATAAAGACAAGTTGCTATGATTGATTGGTATAAGTTTGGTTTTTCTTAAGAGTTAAAGCATTTTATAAGGGCGGTCCTAAATTTTTGCAAATAACTGTAATGCAGCAACATATCCATAATACTATCATATCTTAAGTTAATACCAAATGCAATAGTGCTATAACAGTTGTAACATTGGAATGTCTCACGCGAATGACACCATACATGTGCTCATGAATATGCACAAAATTCTAATTGCTTGAAATGCTCTTTAATGACAACATCAAATTATTGAATGAGAAACAAGGGTGCCTTTAGAAGAACTGCTTTGCAAAGTACGTCTCCAAGCCCTCACTAATCCCCATTTATATGTGCATATTTCTCAACACCAGGACATTATAGTTTACACGTCGGCCTATTATGCATGGATGAAAAAGTTTCATACATCGTATATGATTCCCGATGGACAACTTTCTAGAAACAATACTGCCTGGGCAAATCACCCCTCCGCACCCAGGGAGCCTTATGATGCAATCCAAGACTTGAGACATGAGAATGATCCAGTGTCTGGAAACAGAACACCAGCTACTCGGCAGGTCCCGGGAGTGAGGATGGCAGTCTCATCATTAAATTGAATTGTCAGAACTCTCGCACGCTGCAGGTGGACAATTTAAGTTGTTAGTCTTTTTACCCGAATTGCTCATTTGACCTCGAAAAACCACTATCAACGGTTATAGAGTGATCAGGCACTCGGGCTTTAATGCAAGGTTACCGGCCTTACAAGGCTATATTATGCGCTCTTAATCGTCAGCTTCCATATTGCTATAAGTGCTTTGGATCAGCCGAATGCAATGCAATCAAAAAGAAAGAGGGGGGCTCTTTGGAATATAGATATTTCAGGGTTTTGTTTTGCAACAGTATAATCCAAACCGTGTGGCACAAGGCACTTCGTTGGAGGGCCTTTTTTCATTATAAAGCTCGATTACATTTCGTATGAGTTTTGGTTCGCGTGTCTTTTAAAAAGATGTGACGCGACTGGAACCTTCGCTCCAAAACCCTCTTTATCCTCCCTTCCACCCCCCCCCCAAAAAAAGGGAAAAGAGAATACCTGGTAGATACATTACACGAGTTTTTATTCACTCCAGATTAATGGAAAAAATCATTCCATTTCTTCTTATTAGTACTCTTTCTCTCTGGCGTTTATTTCATGATTTATGTCATTTATTTCAAAGCCAAGGAACAGTATCGTCAAAAGTTCAGAGTTAATTTCAAGTTGTCAGTCGTGACAAATTATGCCTTAGTTAATAACGATTTTCACTAATCCTTTTCATAGTTCAGTTGTCAACAACGGCTACGAAAAGGAATTAATTTGGGGTTAAATACTCCAGATGAGTCGAACTCATTAATGGTGGCTACCATTGTTAGGCATGCACGAAATGTATATACACGTTTACCCAAAATACACACAAAACGAGGAAGTAAACATCTTGCTAGATTTTAAATTTGTTTCTTTGTGGTGTACCCTCACCCTGTGAACGATGAAGGAGTCTTTATTCAAGGCGTGCGAGGCATCCAGCAATGCGCGGTTGCTGCAATACATACACCAAGGGCCATTCACATTGGTCTTTTGTCCAGTAGGCCTGCAACATATTGTGTGAAATTTGACTGATTGCAAGACTTTTCAGTCATTTGAAACTGCCTTTGATCGTTTTCGTAAATTATATGTAGGACCTAATGTATTATTCATTTAATTTTACTGTTTTGCATGTGTAGACAGCAATTTGCCCCGTGTGTGTGTATGTTAATGTGAGTAAGCAGATCACATTCGCATGATTCCAGTCATTTTGACTAGTTTTTTATGTGCTGTGTTTTCGATCATGACAAATTAAATCAGCGTTTTAATGCTAAATTATTATCAAGTTATTTTTCATTGTCGTACAATACTATCCCTCGTTTCAATAGAATTAATTGGGTTCAGAAGTAGTGAGAGTGGCCTGTAGGGAGAGAGTAATACAACCAAATCAATTAGGGGAGGGCATGAACCTCCTCTTTCCCTCCTGCATCATCATCGTCATCCCCATCATCACCACTATCACCACCATCATCAACAACATCATCATAATCAACAACATTATCGCAATCAACAACGGATTTGGAGTCCATGTACAGATTTGCATTCTCAATGTAAAAAGCAATAAATTATGAAATACGAGAAACAGTTGCTGAAGTTTGTGATTAAAGGTTTAAAGGTCCATTTGTGCATTCTGTACCTTTGAGACAACCAAAGCGCTCAAAATCTAAAGAAGTGTGTCTTATAATAACAACTACCGTAAGCTGGTGAAGTTGCGCCTCAGTGAATGCTGTGTATTTGCAGAGAAAAACAATATTCCAGGATGTCGATTTCAAATCAAGAATTACCGCGTAATGTTTCGATTTCTGCCCGACTTCATGGTCCGGGACAGGTTCTCGTTCAGCTCAAGGCATCTACGTGATGTCGAACACTAAATTGACGAATTATAGTAACTAAATTACTGGAGGCAATGTCCACAAGTGCATCTTTAGACACTTTGTGGGAAATGGCCTTCTTTGGGTACTTTCTTCAAAATGAAAGCTTGCTATAGGAAGAATAATTTCACAAGGAGTTAATCCCATAACCATCTTTAAACTAAATACCAGTAATTTCGTCAGTTATTTTCTCAATAACTGCAAATGAAGGACTATAATACCTTTTAAAGTGGTATTCGTTTGTATGGTTGATTTCTAAATCAATCTAACTTGAAAAGTTTTCCTCGTGTTCCATTACTTACAGCGATGGGACACGTGGTAGAGTGCTGACAATATTAGTGACTCTTTCTGCAGCTCAGAAGTTTCTTAAAAGCTTGACGAAACTCCCGATTGAAGATCGTGTAAATGATGGGGTTCAAGGAGGAGTTGCACCACCCCACCCAAGTGAAGATCCGGTACAATGTAGGGACAGCCTCGCAAGACAGTCCCTCTGGCCAAGAGGTGCACACGGGGTTGAAGATGCTGTGCAGGATGAAGAACGGAAGCCAGCAGACGATGAAGGCGCCCACCACGATAGCGATGGTCCGGGCCGCCTTACGCTCTTGGGCCAGTGAAATCCGACAATGAGCTTTGGCTCGAATCGACAACATGGCCGCAACCGGCACGACGCCCTGGAGGGGGATTCCGCGGGAAACGGGCTGACCGGGCATCGCGCTGTCCGGTGCCCCCTCGATCGCCGAGCTTGACAACCGATCTGACTGCCCCCCGTCTTGGAAGGAAGACTGGGACGCGGACTGCTGTAGCCTGGGGTTTGCAGAGACCGTGCTAAGGGGAGTCGGGTTAATGACCCGTCGAGCCCGCCGCTTTGCTGCGCTGTAAATTTTGAAGTACACGATCAAGATGACCACACATGGGATATAGAAAGATATTGAAGAGGAACACCAGGCATACGCATTGGTAGAGTCTACTAGGATGCAGGCGTCATTTTCCTTCTGGAAGAGGGCAAAAGCTGGAACTGAGACCAACGCCGAGAGCACCCACACTATCGCCATGCGCCCGAAGGCCATCTTGGCTGTCCGTCTGGTCACATATTCAATTGGCTTCGTGATGGCGTTGAAACGATCGATGGAAATTGTGCACAAGTGGAGGATGGAGGAGGTCGAGAGCATGATATCCATTGCGCCCCAGACCTTGCACAGGGGGCCCGGGAGGAACCACATGCCCCCCGTCAACTCCAGGTAGAGCGCCAAGGGCATGACAGCTGTACACACCAGCACGTCCGCCACGGCCAGCGACACCACGTAGGAATTGGCCACTGTCCGGAGGTTCCTGAATTGGATGACGGCGACGCACACCAAGACGTTGCCCAGAATGCCAGCGAGGATGACGAGCAGCAGGGCCGGTGCACCGAAAACCGACGATGCTCCGACAGAGTCCGGATTTTCCGTCGCTGGAGCATCCTCCATCACAGTGCCGAATGTTGGATTTAGGACTGCAGTACGTCGTGTTGTGGGAATCCAGGGTACTGCAGCGCATATAGATTGAGTCCGCTAAATCAATACGACAATTCGAAATCTAACAGGTCTCTTATAGATGCATTATGCACAAGGCGACATTTCGGTCTAAAAAGGAGATTTCTTGCATTGGACTGAGAAGACATTAATTTCTCAAAAGGAATATCTGCAGTGTTGCTGATGGACGGTGTCTTTCAGTTCCCTCGAGCGGAGCCCTCACAGCGAGGGCCAAGGGTTCAAATCAATCATTCCTCGGCTTCTTTGCTTGCTGCATTATCTCCGCAAATAGCTCTGTTTTGGTCAGTAATGACCGAAGCTTATCATGAAACTAAATTACGGTCCGGCCTAAAACACATTTAGCTCAACGTCGAAAATCGATTACCTGGTTCTGTCTCTCCATCGGGCTGTTTTCTATATCCGCAATAACTTGTCTCCATACGTCCAACAGTGACAGTACACGGCAAACACCATTAAACCTCACTGCAATTTCCTCGTAAAGTAGTAATTAACTTCGCCGGTTAACTCATATGATGACAAGGCTTTCATTGTTTCAACACCTGAGTTGTGTTTCATGAAATGAAAATAATTATCCCTATTTATTTGGTGGAAAATGATGCATTAATGTAATAACCTTACTGAACGAAAGCTTGTACACGTACATCTCAAAGCAAACTGATGCTGAATTTACCACATTGGTTCTGGCCGCAGGAAGGTGTCGTTAAAATAACGGAAACGACTTAAAACTAAAGAGATCGATAAGAGAGCTTTATACCCATAGAGTCACAAGACATTGTATGTGTACTACGACTGCATTCACGAACCTACGAAACGTGCGCGCCGCCTCGCCCCACCCCTCCATGAAGCTGCTTTGCTCTTGCGCATGCGAGGTTTTGTCCTTCATGAACCAGTGTCTGTGTGGCTCGAAAATCTGAGTCAATGGAACATTATTCATAACCGTATCACACTTCAAATCATGTCTTGTGAATATTCGTAGATATCGTACTCTATGTCAAAATGCCCTTTTCCTTGTGTAATTGTTCCAGCACAGTCTGATTTTTCCCGACCCTCTGTAACACTAACATGTCGGTTTATTATTATCGTGTGTGGCAGCTATTAGTTGAATTAAACATGATTTGAGTGGAAAAAAATATTTAAAATAAAATACTAAAAATGCATCCGACATCCTCAAAGTAAACATTGGAAAGGTTAATACCCACTTGAACTGTAAAAATTAAAACAAACAAATGAGAACACCCATTTAATTTAAAAAATGAGACATCCTCAAGATATACATTAAAAAGACCAGTTATACATTGAAAACAGATAAAGCGAAGAAACACCATTTAGGGTTTGGCATTGTTGTTAAATACGGATTTCAACCTTTTTTATATTGGAATTAATTTCAGTTCCCTTAATGTCATTAAAAAGTACAGTCGAACCTCATTAATAAGAGGTCTCTTGGACTTTTGCAGATTTGCCTCGTCATAAAAGGAGCCTTGTTTCATCAGGAATAAAAACAACGGACTTGACGATATCCTTGCTACAAGCAGAATGTTGTATGCACTTGGTCCAGAAGCAAAACGTATTGATTTGTATATTTTTTTTATAAACCAAGTACACATAGATAGTGGCTTGAAGTTTTAAAAGGCAGTCAACATGATTTGAAACATGTTTGTTCACGAACAGGCGCTATTTGCACGAATGCATGTTCTGACCGCCCAGTACATACATGTACATGTGGGCGAGCGTTGATGCACGTGTTTACAATAATCAGTGAGCCGTAAAAGAGCAGGCGTCCTCTGTGCGGTTCAAGCTCACTAGAAAGGCATAGCGAAAAGAAGCTTGAAATAGCAGGTCCCATTTTGGTTGAATAATGGTCTTCTCGAAGTATTCGAAGTAACAACAGTGTGATGTATTCTTACAAATGGGTCATTAGGGAGACATTTTGTGGTAAACTTTTCGACCTTAGGGAGACATCGGTCATTAGGGAGACATTTCAATGTCTCCTTAATGCCCCATCTACCAGAAGGAGACCGAATTTTATTGTCCAAATTTTGAGAGATGATAGATTAGCTAGGGTCTACATTGAAAACATACAAAGTTTGGTTCAGATTAGAATTAGGGAATATTTAATTATGGGACAGTAAAGTTTGTGCACATTCTTATGGGAATGTCTCCCAAGTAACCCATTTTCGGTAATTAGTATTATGCTAATGTGCGCTCGCACAATACAGATTTGACCAACTTCCTAAGAGTAAGACATTGTTGCTGACGTGGCTAGTTGTGCTTCGTGAGTTCCAGGTATTCGTCTTGTGAGCGCCCTCTCACGTATCAACAACACAACAACGTCTTGACCAAGACTACCTCCGTCCCGATGTGACGTTTTAATTATAATGTTATTCTTCCGGTAATTACGTGGTCTCCGATCCAGTGTTCTACAAAACTTCAATTATAGTAGATCGCAACTCCCCTCAAATTCTGGGAAGTTGCAAGACTATATTGGATTGAGGAGGTCTAACTGTTTTGAACTGAATATCAGTTGACGATTTGGGTCGACTCTCGGAATCGGACTCTTCTGAGTGCGGGTAGCGCTGTAAATCGCAATATTCTTAATTTTACTTGTCCCAAACACTTGCACTGCCAGTGTAGAAATTGCAAGCTCGCAACGCAAAAAGGCACCGATGCAGTCTGTAGTCTGAATGTGAACTTAAATTTTGTCTTCATCTGGCCAAAATCGTCGGCAGATTCTTAGTCCGAAAATTAAACAAGTGCAGCTTACAGCTTCTAATTTTTGAGCGGGAAAAAGTTCTAAGTAAGTCGTCGGCGACACCACCAACTATCGCGCTAGTCATGGTTTGGTACACTTCGTAAAAACAGTGCGATGAATCATAGATGTTTGACCGACAAACGTGAAGGGATGCGCGCGCAATCTTTGAGAATAAAAGAATTCTGAAAAAATTGCATTTCACTTTTCGAAAATGTTTAGCTCATGGCACTAGTGGGCTATTCATCACGGCTATAAAGCGATGGTTTCCCCATCATCAAGGATGTAGTGCACTCTTTCAAGTCTCACTGAAAATAGTTTAATTTTTTGATAGTTCAAACTGGGGCTCAATAACGTTCGATCCAAGCCGACATCTGTGAAGTTTCCCAAATAAAAATTAAGTTATTGCTTTTAGTTAATCTTTCTATTTCTCTTCAATGTCGGGTAGGTTAGCCCAGTACAGTTTTTTTTTAATTATTCACACAAAAAACAAACTCACAGCTCGAAAAGTGTTTTTTCCCAATTCAGTACGCGGCCATTTTAGTGTCTATACTTCCCGAACACTTAGAGTCATGTTTCAACGGTAAATTTATCAACTGTCGTCAGATGCATATGAAAGCCCCTCAGAACCAGTGAGTTGATCCTAGCTACACTCCTACAGTCTCACCATTTTTTCGGCCAAAGCATCCCGTTTCAAAAGAACTGTAAGGACTTGCAAGGCCCACATGTAATGAGCTCACATAAATGCGTACTTAAAATGTTTATAGCGCCCTCTGTTGACCAAGCACGATGGAACTCGTTGTTATGGTACGCGTACATACGTCGCATGCCTGACATGTCAAAATTTCCCTCCACGAAACGGCATGGTGACGTGTATAATAAGCCTTGAACCACCCGTTTCGCTGATTGTGGAGAGAGTTTGTTGCCACTGACGCGTGCTGTAGACTCTAACCGCTTCATCGTTGTTTGGATTCAAGCTGTGGATCAAAGACAGAAAGAACACACCGTTTTATATGTAACGTTCACGTTATTCTTGTAAAAAGTTGTAGAGTGTGCTTCGTGACTGTTGAGCGGACGGCCTGATCCGCACGTTGGCGTGGTTATTGACACAGAGCAGGCATGGATTGATTGAGTCGTTCATAGTTGAACCATAGTTGAATGTGTTATGTAATGTACACATGCACATCGTACACGGGATTTCGTCTCATTACTGAGACGTTAACGAGAGACTGATCGAAGCATTAACCCCTGAAGATAAAAAGATTATTTGGGCGCGTGACAAGTGGGTAGGCAGTCAACAGTTGTGCAGCACTGAACCGTACCGGTACCGCAGTTCGTCTGCGCAGCAGCTAGGCCCAGTGCCTAACGAGATTTTGCAAGTTGTGGGCCTACGTACATGTACGTTGCCTCAGAAATGTCAGGTAAGTTTAAACGGAAGCATGTCGTATACTTCTATTAAAAAGTGCATTTGATCAGCAATCTACCCTTGGCTTGGGCGTACAGCTTTTTTTTTTTTGGAGGGGTAGGCCTAGCAGTGCCTAGTGTGTCCACGAGTCACCAAACATGTAATAGGTGCACTTAGTGCTTTGACCAAAATTTGTTCCTAAGAAAACTAAATTTCTGATGGCTTCATTCTGAGTAGTTGAAATTTGACTTAAATCCTACATAATAATAATGATGAGAATTTATAACACGTCAAATCCGTCACAAGTGACGCTCGAGGCGCAAAACACTTTTACAAAACTAAAATACACATGTACATGAATGCATCAAAAACAAGATGGCAGTTACTGAAAAGGTCCTAACAAGATACAGTACACGGAATGTTATGAAGAACATCGCATATAACCGAAGCAGCAAGAACGTCGTCTGCAAACGAGTCAAGTGGGATTGGCTGTAGTAAAACTTACATCACAAAATTCGCGCACAGCGCACATACGTTACAAATGTCATTTTATGCGGTATTGGTAATACCCTACTTCTAAAAACATGAAAAATCTGCCAGTTACTGCCACTGAGTTAGTGTCTCTTGAATGAGGAATTATGTTTTGCATGAATTGCTTTGGTGAAGTGATGCAGTTGGAAGAAAAAACAATTTCATTTGCCATAGCTTGATTTTCCATCGCAGTCTCTTTTTCGTTCACTTAGTTTTTAACTGTTGTCAATTTCATTTCAAGATGCAGTGAGGCATGAATTTTTTGTTCTTTCAAATAAGTCATATTAGCATTAATATGAGTAACTGATTAGGACGTTATGACAAAACTTCTCTTTCTAAGTGTATTTCTGAAAAAAAGTTGCAAAATACAGTGCCGCAGAATCCGTGCCCCGTAAGCAAAGGAAATCTCAAAATGTAAGGTGTGCGGAGTGCTTTTTCAGGCTCCATATTTTTCGCCCTGAGTTGGCGAAAGTTAACCAGAGTCGTCATCAGTGCCTGTGTCAGGTATCCAGCGCCAAGCGTGAGCAAACAGTGATCATTTATGCAAGTTTTTGACACTTTCAACCGGTTAATTTTTGTAGTTAGTCTACATAAAGTAAAGCGTTATGCTCTGCAGATATTTTTCATGAATTCTCCCAGGAAAAGCTTTTTAATTTCACACAAACGAAAAACGTTGAAAGGACGATCATCAACAGTAACTGAAGACGACGGACGAGGAAGTTGGATGCGCAAATATTTGTATGCGCGAATTTAGGATACTCCACAGTATTTGAATATAAATTTCTGTGCATCAAGTGACACACAAAGCAATACATGTACATGTATGGTTGGTAGGCCCTATCACATCTATAAAGCCGTAATTGTATGAATTATTGAAATGAAATTTGACCAGTTTACAATCCAAAATATCCTATGCCATGTTTGCTGTTGTACTGGCTCAGGAAACGAACATACATGTACAATGCAGTGTTGGGAAGGCAACTCCTCATATGGTTCTGTGCTATTGTTTTTATTGTGAATTCATATTTTTATTGTGAATTGGTATTCATGACATGGAATTTTTGTCCTGGAGAGAATTTTCAGGCATTTTGCCCTTTATAAAATTTTCCAGGGCCACAGAACCACAAAAAAGAAGTGGGAGATGTCCTACTTTTTACCTTTGGATGAAATAATGTGGATATTTTTGGACTGGGGGATAAAACGTGCATGTATACATTGTAATAGTACATGTACACTGATCAGACCATGATCGTGTGCCTCCAGTTCGATGGCTGACCACCCCACTCATTGTACCATGCAGTCACCTACTCCAAAAATACCAAAAGGAGATTCTCACCGGGCCGTGTTCTGGTTCAGTGAAGGAATTTGAGGTCAGACGATGGAAAATTATGTGTTTTGAGATGTAAACTGTAGATTTGTAGATACAGCTTTATTCTGTAATGTATATGTATGTGTACTTGTACTCTTTTTTTGTTTACTTCTCATGCTCCTGCTATGATTTGTACTGTTCAGCACCCAAGAAGCCAGACCCTCCGGTTGTGGGCAAAGTAACACACCACACCATTGAGCTGTTGTGGGACGCAGCCGGCCACGCAGACAGTGTGGACAAGGGGGACGGCAGACTACGCTTTGCAGTGCAAGAAGCGGATAGGATTCAGGGCTGGGGAAACGTATACACGTGAGTGTGTTTTTGTGCTTGATTGCGTTGCCTGATTTAGCAACAAATTTGAACAGCATTTCACGAAAATTTACAGCTTCAGCCAAAGATCCACTGTGTACACGTGTAGCAGAAATGCCTCAACTGCAGACAGGCATTTGCTGAGATGGTTAAACATTATATAGTACACGTGTATGTACATGTACATGTACATGTATACTGGTAACTTGCTTCGGTCTGAGTTTTGCTGTACTTTTTGGAAAATCTTGAATCAGACAGTTCCGGAAATTTCCTTTTTTTTAAACTACCATCAATGCTTTAACTGATATTTTCCCTGCTGAACTTGACCTTTCTGGACCGGTTACTGATTTCACTGCAGGGAAAAGTTGGCGGTGTACATGTATTTAATTCTTCTACATGAATTTCCTTTCCTGGTGTGATTATACTGCCGTTCACTGACAAAGCAAATGATGGTACCGGCACATTGCTGAAGGCATTTGTTCTTCACATGTCCTTACTTATGTACATGTACCTTGGCCAGCCTCCATTGGAAAACTACCGTACATCCATGTGCATACATGTAAATGTAGAATTCTTCCCCCAACCACCTGATCACAGCCCCCCAAGCACCCCTTACAAGTAGTTATCGGTATGTTACTTCATAACTTTTGCTTTTACTCTTTTTTAAAATGCTTAGCTTGGGAAGAGAGATTACATACATGTACATGTAGTATCGTACTGCCCACATCTGTAGATTTCTTGCACGATGGTCCATCTGGCCTACATGTACGTGTACTTTACATTACGTGTACTGCTACATGTACATGTATGTATGTACATGTACTTGCAGTTTGTACTCAACTTTGTACACCCTCATGTCACCACAGATGTCACAAGTGAAATGCATTAATCACTGTGTGTAGGCACTTCTTGAAAAACTGCATAAGGGCAATGCCATGGTTATGTTACGTTTTTCGTGTACTTTTGAATTTCTTTTGGCTGTAATTATCTTCTTGTAAATGTTCAGTTATTGTTAACTTAATGTCTAGGGCATACCTATGCCTACCTAATAACCAAAGATAACAATATAAAAGAAGCATTAAGCATGACACACAAGGCACACAAAATCAGTTACTCACGTTACATTTTTGGACAAACATAAAAAGCCAACAAGCTTGAATCAAAAAGTCTCCTAATATCAACAAGCTTTGGAAGTTCTTTTGACTGAATTAAGAACCCTGCCATGGGGCACAAATAGTGAAAGTAATACAACTCTTTTGGACTCTTTGGTTTTCTAGAAATCTACGAGACATCTGGTTACTCACGTTATGGCTACTCACGTTACAAAGTGCAAAACACAGAAAAGGCATAAACTAACAAATTAACTTAACAAATTTTGACCTACTTATGAGAGGTATCATTAACAAAATATCTATTAAATTTTTGTACATGCAAAACAACTTTCAAGCATGTTCTTACCCCCAGAACTGTGGGGTCCGACATCCACCCTGCTACATTTGTGGGAGCGGGTCAGACGTTGGACCTCACAGTTCTGGGGGTAGCATGTTCTGCCAATGCACTTTCTTTATAGATCTCAACCATCTTAGAGGCTTAGAGAGATAAGAGATCAACAGTTTGCATAGGTCATTTATCCATACGGAAAGCAAATGTGGATCTTAAAGTAACCATGTAATCAAAGGTTCTAGGCATGATGGAACTAAAACTTCACTGAAAACTTGAAGTGGCCTCGGTCGTTCACAACTGCAGGTGCATCCAATTTTGTTACCAGCTTTCCTCAAAGTTGCAGTTTCCAGCGAGATGCATCACTGATACTTGATATTCATTCTTACCACCACGGGTAACCACTTCTCCTGGGTATAGCACCCCATATAGCATCCCTGGATATAGCACCCTCTAAAACAGTAATTAAAAGACAAAGAAACGAGTCCTTGGTGATTATATTTCTGCCTGGCCATTAACACATGAAATAACCGATACTGAGCATCTTCATAAAGCCCAAGTATAACCCAGTATATTGCATACTGTACAAATATAGGCCTACATGCAAATAATCTGATGTAAATTTACTTCAAAGAAACAATAGATACAAGACAGAAATCTTTCTGCGTGTACTTGGTCAGTAATAAATTATTTATAAAAGCAATTTCACTAGAACACATTTGTAGGATTTATGAACATGATAAAGAAGGAAGGATAGGGACTCACAAGATCTGCCAAAATTGACAACACAAGCCTCCAAAGATGGTCAACAGTACTGCTTTTCTTCCATGTACTCATTTCAGACAGTGTGCAGTGTTTAAAAATGGGAAATTTGCATGTTAATTCCTTGTAATGCATTTCTGTGTGTTATTTGTATCTAAAGCATATCCATGTGCTAGAGTCTCCTCACATAATCTTCACAATCTTCAATAAACTTGCTATTCCTGGTTACTCACGTTACACAGTTACACATGTTACAACTTCCATCACCGCCCCATATTGAACAGTGAATTGTCACATCATAAAGAACCCAGTTTTTAAATTGGGAGTCACCAAGAGAACAATAATTAAAAGTGGTAACTATTGAAACTAAGAAACATATTCACTGGGGGAAAAAAGTCATATTTTGGTTACTCACGTTACACTCCCTAGAAGTGCTCCCATGACGTCCTCATGAAATAAGTCAAGCCACTCCATTTTTAAATTCTGAATTCTAGCGTCATATGTATTACAAAAAATGCATAACTAACTCGATCATCCTTTAAATTTCCGTAAAAAACAGAGAATTTCCCACTTTTGGAAAAAATACAGTTCAAAATTACCGTTCCACTTCAAATGACCATTTCTCCAAAAATTCTGCTATAATTCTGTTATTTTAAGTTGTTCCACATATTTTGAACCATATGAATCAATATTTTATAGATAATCGCTTTCAAATATGGATTTGAAATTTTAGGGCCATGTCCACTCTTTCATGGAATTGCCCATAATAAAAATATGACAGACACCCTAATGTGCGAGCGCACTGCAATCCCTGACACATTGTAGAATCATTCTAAATTTCATGAACTGATTCGCGTACATATACTGTACAGATGTGACAAACCTCCTTTGGGGAAAGAAAAATGCTTAACCCTAACCCCCCAGGCCTTTTTACTAGGAACCATCCTCAGTCCTCCCAATTCATCCAGTTTTCTACATGAACAAATTACATTCAGCCTCAATCCTCCGAAATCTTCCAAGATTTCTTGAAAATGTTATTTGGGGGTGTGCCTACTGCCTCAATCCTTTAAACTCCTCTGGCAATTCCTCTCATTATGGGCATTCTTGAGCAGTGCGGTTGATTCAGAACAAATGTTGGGCTGAATTCATGTATGATTGAGCAAGAACAACACAAGGTCTAACTTACATGACCTTCACTAATGGCATTCTTTGCACTCGGCCATGCACTTTTTTCATTCACCCTCAATCCTCCAAAATCCTCGAAAACCGCCCAAAGGATTTTGGAGGATTCCGTTTACTTGCGGGTAAAGAAAACTTGTACAGGTCTGCATGTGGAAACCTTTGGGGAAATACAGAGGAGTTTCACTTTCTGAAAGCATAAAGGTTACAGACTTTATGGTTACAGGTTACTATTCATGAAACCGAGACTGTAGTTCTGTAAAGTTTGTGCAAGAGGAAAACACTACAGTAGCCCTGAGCGTAAATTTGTGGTGTTAGTGACAGTGTGCTCAACAGAAGTGAAGTGTCCCTTGGCAACAGGCTTCCCGCGCTTGAAGAAATACCCAAACACAATACCAGTGTCCTTCCTTAACTGAAGACAACAAGGGTTAATCCCAAGGGCCTGCATGGCAATGGGAGTTACCCAAGGCAGTAAATGGTTCCTGTATTTCAGAAGGCCTTGTTTTCAAAACAAGAAGCCCTTCAGTCCTCCTTGGGTCTCAGATGACTCCCGTCAGCACAAAGGCCCACCCCTCCGAGATGCGAGTGGCCCTGTAATGAGGAAATTGAGCCAACAAGAGATTTTGTCACTTGGAGAAGCCCGGTCTGGTGGCGGGAATTTATTTTGCTGAGTCCTACTGTTGTCGTTTTGTGTTTCAGTCCACTGCAATTAATGAGAGTGGACTCCATGCCCCCTGGACTGGTAGTTTTACGGGCCTGGGTCTAGCTATTCCTGATTGACCAGTATTGTATTCAGGTGCCTTGTCCACCATTGATTTGCTTCGCACTATTGTCTCCAGCTCTGTGGTTCTTAAGAGGTAGAGCCAGTGGGGTGCATTGGCATTTCAGCTCTTCTGCACTGCCTCTTGACAAACACATCAGGATCCACCTTTAGAGTCTGTAAATGACCACTTAATTGAAACCTGACAGGTTACCAGTTTCAACAAAGGGATGCCTACAGTGTAACTACTTTACCTGTTGGTTATGTTTTTTATCTGAGAAATTTCTTCCCACTTGTTATGATTTCAAAAGCCGTGGATTTCAAATCGAATGAAGAGTTGTGTCATCATTGCTGTGGTACGGTACATGCACTGTGTGTGTTGTACTCCAAACTTACCTAAAACATTCCTTTAAAGTAAGTCCAGCAGTTACAGTGTGTTGGCAAGTTCATGTCTAGTACCAAGGTTTCCCCTGGGGTAATGATATGTGTGAGGTGGTCAAACAAATTTCACCAAAGTTGTAGTACCTAAAACAAAAGCATATGTTTCAATAAGGCCTAAAATAAATTCTATACAAATACGTGCTCAACAGTTTGTACATATATGTATGTACATGTAGGCTAATACTGTAGTACTGTTACATATGCTCCAAATTTCCTCTAAAATAAATCAGTCTTGTATTCTGTGTTCCTTTTTGCCACACTGAACGATTTAAAACAGATCTCTTTCAAAATATCTAAGTTATTTTGATTTTTCCTTCCATATTTGTCCATTTTAAATGTGAAGGGTGGTAAAATTCAACAAAAAAGCCTGAGGTGGTCACCCAAGTCCGCGAGGTGGGCTACATGTACCTCACACTTG